ATTTTAAAGATTAAAAAAAGTTAGTATTTAAATAGTAAATTTGACAGTAAAAGGCATAAACACTAGAATAAACAAATAAAATGTTGCACAGCCACAGAATGAAAGGTCAAAATTTCCCAAAGGTCAACAGAAACTCATCCATCATTTTGAACACACTGCAAACATTGGTGACACTGTTAAAAACTAAAATGAATGACACACGTTTAGTCAACAAACTTTTATTAATTATTTGAGGGATACTAATGCACAGGTAATACAACAAGTTCGGGGGAAAAATTGTAACAGTTCAGACACAAAGGAGGTGGTAATTCCCCCAGTGTTAGGTACTATACAGCGTCATTTCAGATAAGGAAACCTTTAATACATAATTAGTCTAATTTTATCTGTTGCCTATGTGTCATAAAACAGTTAGGAGCTGCAGTATCATCTCATAAAACTCTCAAATGTTCCGTCACAACAGAGCCAAATGCCAGTTTCTGCTTTTCAAGTAGGTAGCATAMAAAACGAACCACTGTTGTTCAAATAAAAAGGGTCAACTTCAGGAGCCGGGTCAGGGGATTTCTAGGGATAAACCTTGATTTTGGATATAACATTGCTGACGAAGGGAAGACACTTGAGCCTCCTGTTTCCCCAGGTACAAAAGTCACACCACATACAGTCCAGGTAACTAGAAAGCTCCAACAACACTCCTATTTCAAGCCTATTTTATGTTATAGTAAGTGCACTAATACTGAAACAAACACACAAACATATGCCTTGTTGCCCCATATTCAATAGATAATAATAAAAGGACTCTCTCAACATGTTTGCCATTGTGTACTGAAAAAGCTCAATTTATGTGCATCATCATAAAAATGGATAAAATAACAGTGTGCGCCAACACATAGGCCTACAAGGTTCTTTGTGGTCTACTTTTTTTGTTTAGATTTATATTATGTAAAAAGCGTTTTCAAAGCAAACAAAAGTAGGGGGGGGGGGGAGAGAAAACAGCCATACAGCTCTGAGGAGACACATCAATATCAAAATTTTAGCAAGCCAACAAAATCTGCTAAATATGGTGTATTGCTGTACTTTCTAAACATGTTGCAGTTTTTGCTCACTGTGGGATACATGTGTTTTTCCACGTCATAGGAAGACAAATAGTAAAGGGTGTGATGAAATATAAAATATTCACTGTTAAAAGCAGTGCTAAACTAGCGTATTGCAACACCAAAGCTTGTCGGGTAAACACAGTCGACGCGATGTCGTTCATGAAACGAGAAACAAGCAGCTGACGAACTGAATTTGTGCCGCAGCGCAACACCCGGCGACGAGTGTTACCTTTTCTGACATCCAGTCATTACAAAAGGTGCTAACTGTTTCAGTCACACACACATGCACGCACGCATACACACAAAGTCCAGACAACTCGTATTAAAAACATCCACAGACCAGTCAGTGCTTCTCCTGCTCCCCATCTGAACCTTGATATCCGATAAAAGGTYCAACCCACTAACAGAAACATGAATAAACTCCATTGTCTGATTGGTAATGGAGGAACTGGGACTCAGATCTTTACACTGTAAAAAGTCACAGCGTTGGGCTGAAACCACCTTTGAACTCCTTAAAAAAAGGTTCCGTTTGACATAAGTGCTCGATTTTTTATTTAAATTTTTTTTACGACGACTTTGATGTTTTGGCGCAAAACGATCCCAACTTGCCAGTGAGAAGGTCAACTGGTTGAATTAGACTGAAAGCGAGTTGTATCAGGTCATTAAGGTAAAGTGGCGAGTAAAAGCACCCTTATTATCTCACCAAAATATACTCACATCACAATTTTATTCAAAACTATCAGATTGCTATCTAGGTAATACGCACAGTAGAATATAAAATAGATTCACAATCTCTTTTTTCCCCTTCTTTTAAAGCAAGTAAGTCATYGTTTTATAGACATGAACTGCACATACAAATCATCTTCTTATGGAGATTCCATTAGCTGAAGTCTGTTTAGTATAACTGTGGACTCAAATATCTACTTTAAACATGTTAAAGTCAAAATATTATTTCATCTTAAGTATTTTTTTTACCTGTAACAAATCTGAAGCACATCTAACATTAGTAGAGCAATTTAAACGTCTTCAAGACCAGTTATGGCTTTCTGGGGTAACTTATAATCATAGTCACATTTGACTCTTTACAAAAAAAGCTGTTTTGAACAACTTTTACACGAGAGGGCAATAATCCTGCTCCTGTACCAGACAGCCACTAGGTTAGATTGAATAATCCTAGAGTGCAAAAAGTCAAAAGAGGAGCAAGAAGGGTAAAGGGTTAAAGTGCAAGGCAATAACTTTAAGCTTCCAGAAAATTCTTTATATACATTATTTTTCTGAAAATCTAAAATTTGATTTATTTTTTTCCCTGTTAAATAAAAGATTATTATCCTCGATCTTTCTATAAAAAGATATCATTTGTTTTATTCTCTCCTCAGCTTAGATTCAAGGTAGAGCAGGAGCCAAAGTAATGATCTCCATTAAAATAGTGACATTTTCTCTTCTGATTGTGCTGCAACGGTGCAACAACCTTCACACAAAATCCTTCCTTCTGTCAAATATTTAGCTTTGCAAAAACATATCCTATAATGCCTCAACATAGATTTGTTTTTCTTAAACCAGTCTCACTTAAATATTATCGTAACCAACTTATAGCTTACAGATGAACGTCTCAACCAACCCATTTTTTTTTCTACTTAAGTGTGGAAATAATATTTTTAACTTGTTTCCCTGGTTGTTAAAGCAGATATCATTATGTTAAAAATTGTATCACTGACAGCAGTGGAAAAAAAATAATAAACATGATTAACAAATAACCAACAATTAGCTTATATGACATCTGCATACAAAAAAACAAAACAAAACAAAACAAAACAAAACAAAACAAAACAAAACAAAACAAAAAACAAAAAGGGAAACAATCGCTTCAAACAACGTTGCACCACAACTCACCCTCCCTCCAATATTTTTGACTGCTTGTGCGCCAGTTGGATGGATCGGGCTTAAAAATGACAGATGGCATCATTGCTTTGAGTATATAGATATATAGATATAGATACTGTTTATGTACACCGTACAGTATATCTGCGGGAAAAGAAAACATGAGAAAACACTAGCTAATATATAATGACTTCACCATGCGAATAGAATTTTCTTTTAAAACCTCTGAAACACATCTTTGAACGCTGCAGTGAAAATTACTCTTTAGCTGGGATCCTACTGGTGCTGAAAAACTAGTGTGTTAGTCTGGTTTGGATCTTGAATTGCTACAGACTACACTGCTGCGAGTACAGAAACTGAAATGTGTGCCTTTAAAAGGAGACAAAAGTGGAATGGCGAAATAAAACACTACTGTTGAGATTACGGTGTATACCAGTGCACACCTAAGCTCTAGGGTGTCAAACCAAGATTTAAAAGGATGTATTTGATCTTTTACTTCTTGGCTGAGTCAGCTTTCTTCTCAGTGTTGAGTTCTTGTTTTAGTTAGAAAGGTCTTTTAGCTTTACCCCCAGCAAACCATTTACAGTAAGCTTCCTCTCTGGCACCAGGGTTGATAAAAGCAGTGCTACTCTGGCGAAGAGATTCTTTTGGGTTTGCTTCGTCTGGTGGCGGAAGGGATAGGCTGTCTGTTGTGGACGGGGCTTTCACTGTCCGTTGGGTCAGAAATCGAGGCTGGGGGCTGTGCTGAGCCCGAGGGAGGGGTCACGGTTGGTGGGATAGAGTTCTGTGCGGCGGTGAGGGCTTCTGTTTTTGTTTGGAGAGGCTCGTCCATAAGGAGGCGCTCTTTAGGCTTGCGGCCCCTCTTCTTGCCGGCGGTGGCACCGTTCCTCACCTCAGCTTTAATCTCGTCGTTGTCCAGGACTTTGCTCTTGTTCCCAGAAACCATCTGACTTGTTGCAGCACGGAACCAGTTCTGATCAAACAAAGCAAAAAAACCATCAGTCAAATCAAGTTTTAAACAAAACAAATACATCCAAACAGATGCATAAATTAAAGTGCATTGTTCATCTATTAAAAAAGTGGATTTTATATACTGAGCATGCAAGCTAGTGGGCTGCATTGTAATTGAATACCTGACAAACTATTTCAGACAAAAATGTTTTTGAATCAGAAAAATCTGTACACATTTGTCAGCAAAACTGTCTTCTTTGCACAACTCTGACCTGGTGCTAATGGCTGTGTCCAAAACGACAGGCCGGGTCCTCCGGAGGACCCAGACTACCCGGTCGCGGCGGGCCGGGTYCTTGGTAGACCGGGAAGACCGGAAAAAAGTGTCTGTGAATTTGGACGGTCTAGCCTCCCCTCCTTACCCCGGCGTACGTCATGTCACCTAGCAACTGTGACGACGCTAAACAAGCAAACTTAAATCAAAACTAGAAAAATATCAATATATTAGCATTATTAATATCACAAAACTATRAAATTAACTTAAARGTAWCATTTGAAGAACTAATTGACCCGCTGTAGGTTCATGCTTATTTCGCGTTTTTTATGACGAAAAAATAATATTTAAAAACATGTCCATACAAATGATAAAAGTATTAGAATTACAACCGCTAATTTTTTTTAATGTTTAAATCACCATATTTTTATTTAAAACATATTCTTTTGTCTCGCTTCGACCGCCATTACTAGCCAAAACAAATCTCCGGTCGGGCCGCAATGCATTATGGGATATGCTGGGCCGGGAAGGATCCATCAGACCTGTCCTTCAAATCGGGGAAAAGGAAGGACGTATTTGTCGGCCACATCGGAGGAGTCTTCGGTTATGGACGTCCTTCGTTGCGGCGGTGTGACGTATGCGGCCGACAAATTCGGCCTTCGGAGGACCCGGCCTGCCGTTTTGGACACAGCCAATATATACTAATACATCTATGTACTAATATTTACTAAAACAAAAAGTACCTCACGTGAAAAACAAACACATACACTTAGTGAAAAAGTTTATCCAATAGTGTGAAAACATGTGGTTTAACTTGTGTTTTAAAGAGAAAAGTTAATACTATTGGGAAAAAGATGCTCATAAAGACATTCAGTTGCTGTCAGAATAATGAAAAACAAAGCTTGATATAAACATGAAGTTGTGTTTAATCACACTGTCTGTGTGAAGTCTCACACTGATAGTGACCCACCTGTGAGTGTGTCTTACTGATGTGATATTTAACACCACTCTCTGAGTTAAACTCCTTCTGACAGATCAGACAGGTGTACTTTCCCATTTCACCTCCACCCTGCAAAACACAGAGTACAAAGGCATGTATCCACACAAGTATAAGCCAATCCTCTTAAATCATCTTTTAAAATACTATGATTTATTGGCTTCTATTTATGAGAACATTAGATCTTGAAAACCAACATTTTAAAGTTCTAAGTTTTATTATATGTATTTCTTTGGTGATGCATTGTACTGCTTTACTGCATCAAACCAGTACTGGCTAGTTTCAAAGATCGAAACTTCACACATGTCAAAAATGTCACTGGTAAATAATTTTAGGTTTCATTTCAGTCTGTGTGTGTCTTTATCAGTAACACAATGTCAACAGAGAGATGTTGATGTAATCAGGTTGATGCATGTTTTTACCTGGCTGCAGTTGGCAAGGTGGGCTTTTAATCCAGACACACTGGAATAAACAGCTTCACAGTTCTGGGACAAAGTGGAAAAAACAGGAAGTAATCAAACTATGTAAGCTCAGATTTCTGTGGATTCCTACTTTAGTTATAGACTTTGTACTTAATGACAAAACAAATCCACAAATCAGTTTAATTGAACTGGATATTAAACTTTGTATACAGCAATGTGTTGAACTGAGTTTGTTCTTACTGTGTTTGTGCAGCAGATGAAGCCCTTCTCCTTGACTTGGTTTTTCCAAGCTTCTAGTAGCTCTGGACTGAAGTTGGGAAGGCCAGGACGAGTGTAGTTTAACTGCAAAAAAATGCATTCATTTATAGTTAGCAACATTCAAYGTTTGCTGACTTTGAAAAGTAGCTTTGCTAAGATGTTTGATTTTGTGCAATTTAGATTTTCTTGCTACTCTAAATCCAGAACGCCTCAACCTTTTCTTACTGTGTTTACCCTGTGTCCTCACCCTCTTGCTGTCAGGCACCAGGTCGTCCTTGATGCGCCGCTTGGTGCCCCAGTCCTTGGCCAGCTCGTCCTCTGCTATCTCCTGCAGGTGAAACACTGCCACCTGAGCTGACTGTCGCCTCACTCTGCCACTGGGGGTCCTTTCAAAGTCCTCCTGGCTCTTTATTTGTGCTGCTTTTTCTTTCTCTTGCTGCCTCTCCTTCATCTTTTCCAGCTCCCGCTCTTTGGACTGGCTCGACAGTGCTTTTTCCTGCCAATCCCTCCTCTCAGGTGGGTTTTGCTCCTTCTTTCCTCCTGGCGCAGACTCCTCAGAGGCTGCCTGAAAAAACAACAGATCTTGAGTAAAAATCATGAAAGTAAAAGGTTTGATAAGTAAAATCTAGAGCATACAAAGCAGAACAAGTCCCTCTAATAATACACTTACCTTCTCCCTGCCAGTATTGATGTCAGTGACGTCCTTGTAGTTGTTGGTGGTTGAGGTGGGGGTGATGGTTGGGGGGTGTTCAGTGCGTACGTGGTAGTCTCGGCCTGCCTTGGAGCGGTAGTTTTTTCCACAGTGCTGGCAYAGAAACACAGGCTTCTCATCGTCAGAGAACTCTCTTCCACAACGCTGCTGATGATACTGGTAGCCTATCAGACTGGAAAAATGGGCTGAACAGCCCTGTGTATATGTGTGTGTGCATGTTTGCGCACAAAATGGTTTGTAAGATGATTTGACAACAGTGACAGAGATGAGACAGAATGTACGCTGAGTTAGTAGAATAAAGTTTAATGGAACAATATTTTCTGGTTGACGGCACAAAGATGCTCTTTTTTTGTGTGTGAAAACTTGTCACAAATAAGAACTTCTTTTCCACAGCTCTTTTTCAGTCTACATTTTGCTTTCTAGTGTGTACTGAAGACAGAGAGTTGATGTGATTTGGGCAAAATGTTCAAAAACGGGGAATAAAGAATAAAAAGAAGAGAGATAAGAGGTTGACGTAAAATAGAGCCAGAGAAATATGGTAACAAAATAGAAAAACTGGCAGATGTTAAGAGAAACTTGACAAATGTAAAAAAGCAAGTTAACAAAATGGGAATAAAGGCTGTGGGAAAGCAAAAGTAGCAAAGAATGAGAGTGAGGAAAAGAGCAAATGACAGTGGGGGGAGGGGGGGGGGATAAGAAGCACATACCTCACTAGGACACTTGATTCGTCCCATCTGTTTGAGCACTCGGAGCAGCCGTTCCCTCTCCTCGTGTTCGTTGCCCGTCTGGCCTTCGCTCCCTGAGGGCTGAGGGGGAACAAACGCACCGTCGCATGAGCGCCTTCTACAATAACACCAACCCCACTCCTGTGCAACTTTTGAAAAGGCAATAAAAAATGTGTTTTCTATCTCTTGTGTTCACATTGCGCCAGGATCATTAAGTGATTTCATGGTGAGGCTGTTACTCAAGGCATGCTTAGCACAACTGTCAACGTCGGCCGTGTGTCGCCTGGTGCCAAACCCAGCCAAGACCAGAGCGACAGATGGGCGGCCAGAGAGGAGGAAGAAGTGCACGGCACAGGAGAGAGTAWGGACTTACTGAGGCATCCCAGAGGAGGAAGCCTCACGTGTTTACTCGTGTGTTAATGCACAGAAATGGAGGATGCTCAACTCTGCGGTAGCTAAAGGGTAGAGGCGATACCCGTGTAGCATAATGCTACGTTCACACCGAACGCGTTTTGAGCGGCCAAAAAGCGCAAAACGTCTCTTGTTGGATGCACTATTTTCAGACCGAAGAACGCACTGGTGTTCAGACCAGAACAAGCAGCGGCAGCAGCGAGGTGTGGGAGGAGCGTGTCCTCGGTGGGTGAAATAAAGATAAAATAAAAGAAAACGGCTTTGATTTTTTTACTAAAAAGCAAGCGAACGTTGCGCACAGCAGATAATTAACTCACCAGATGATTTAGAGGCGATTTGTTTGGTTAGTTTCGTCACTCCAGAAGCTGCCAGCTGACGGACTTTTTTCTTTTTTTTGGTCCAGAGCAACTGATCAACATCGGTGCTGATATATCCTGCCAGAAAATCCAACTGCACATGGTCGATTTCAGGTAAAAATCTCCAGTCCGTCTGTTTCGGTTTTCAGTGGGAGATGCGTCGAGCGGCGAAAAGTTCAGATATTTGAACTCTGGGGGCAGCGGCTTCCGCAGCACCGCATGCGCGGAAAACGCTCTGCGCCCCTTCCGTGACGCACGACCCCCAGAGGCGAGTCCTCCATAGACTTTGCATGTAAATCGGCCTCTCCTGCCGCTCAAAACGCGTTCGGTGTGAACGTAGCATGAGACTAGCGACCACCATCAGGCTGAGCTTGTGATTTACACCGACAGGGAAGAAAAAACAAAAACTACACCAGCATGTATTATTAAATTCTCTAACAGACAGAGAGCATAGATGGTGAGAGAATAAGCAGCACTATAAAAGGAGCAGCATCAAAGTCAACATCACTGGATCTGTCTTTCTGTGTTTTCCCACCCTGAACAGAGAATCAGCCATGTCCACACACACATAGCACATCAGCAGTGATATGTGACCAGATTATGAACACCATTTTACATTGAAACATGAAAAAAGTAATTAAAATGTTGGTAACATTTCTCAGTAACTAATGTAGGTAAATGTATGGCTAAACATCATAAAATAAGTAAAGCCCAAAGTAAAGTCTAGCAGGAGACAAAACGTTTTATGTGTACATAAAGACAAATCAGGGTCGATGTGTGACGGCCAAAAACCATCAACAAGATTTTGCAGACTTGCTGTGGAAAGACTAAGCTGTCTGGATATAATGTATGTGACATCCATGGAAATATCAGAGGACAGYTGGAAAGTGATCTTGGTTGTTGTGTTTTTAATTTAGACAAAAAATTGTTCTAAAATTTAAAATGTAACTGTGCTAATAGACTGCTCTGAATTCAACGCACTGAACTTTTAAACACAAAAATATATAACCTATAAAAATACCTCAAAATTTAGCAGTTTTATTGACATACACACTAAATCTTGCTGAACTTAACCTGAACCACATAAATACATTAAATGTCATCAGAATGACATTTAATGAGTTTAAGGACAACAAATCCATGCAGAAGAGGAAACTGCATGCAAACACATAAGTTGCTGAGTTTTCCTTTTGTGGCCTAGTTTTAAAGAACTGAAACTTAAAAACTTGTTCCCAAAAATATATATATATATATAAATAAAAAAAGAGCAGTTAACAAGGAAATGGAAGTTATACTTAATTGAAATGTCAAATGTTTTAATTAGATGCATTTTTTTTCTGCAGCATCCTGGAGTGCAGGAGAGGTTTCTATTTGGGTGGGGGAGTTCTCACAATCTGCTATAAGGAGCARAGCATTAGATGCAGATGTCTATAAAACACTGCCATGACACAGTAGTCATGTTTCCATCCAAAAAATGCAAATTTTGAGGGAACTTTTAAAATGTTGCAAAAAAAATTCAAATCAGCTGTGTTCCATATGTTGATTTGGAGAATAAACCAGGCTTAGCAAAGCATTATTTTGACAGACACACAGCTGTAATAAACAGGAAGTAGAGGTTGCAAACTATTGGGGACCACACATTTTGGGACAATGGAGAGAAGTATTGAGAAAAGTGTTGCTATCATGTAAGTTGTAATTGTTCTGTCATATCAACCAGTATTGGCGATGTTACATGCTGTCCGGAGACGGAGAGAATGAAATGCAGAAATGCTAATCTTACAGGAATATCCAGAAAGATGCTGACAGAGGAAACAACTTATCAATTATGTGAGGTAAACGTTCGCTACATCATAATGTATTCGGCAAATGTGTTTCCATCTCCCATTTCTGGCCATAGCTCTTTTTTTTTTTGAAAATCCAAAAAAACCACCTCATTTGAGGGCAAGGAGGTCCTATAGAACAGCTGGAGTGTGCAAAGACCACGTGACCGTGTGATCGGCTGTAGAAGCTAACGGTTAACGCTAAATGGGCAACAGTCTGGATTTCCCATGACTGTACATGTTGACAAGAGAGCAGGAAAAAAAGGACTGACGATGTAGAAATCATTAAAACTATTAATAATAATATTAATCTAATTATTATTAACATTTTACAGTTTATGTAATCTATATAATGTTTTAAATAATGCCAGAAAAGCTGTCTGTGTTATGGATTTATTAACAGAAGATAAACAGGAAAACGTCTCATTTCACAACACAAGTCAGCAGATTTGATCTTGTTTAGCTCAATGTGATCTGAGCAGAACATAATGTAACAGTTTTAAATTAAATTAATCTTATAAAGTCGATGTAATCACTGTTTTTTATTGAACTGGTTAGCAGATATTAGCTTGTGGAGCATATATACAGAGTTTAGCACTGTTGAATCATGCTACAGTTTAACACAAACTATTAAATATTAAAGCTGATTTGTCCTCTGATTAATATTTAGACCTACAGAGTGTAAAATAATACTATAAACGTGAGTATTTTTAGGTTTCTGTTAGAGGAACCTGACATGTTAAGGAGATGGTTAGCTAATAGAAACAAGTTTCATCCTATAACCAGAGAACATTTTCTAACTGTTGACTGGTAAATTTAAATATTCTTATTTTTTATGACAGTAAGAAGAAATAATAAATATACTTTATTCTAGCTGAAGTCATCATTTTTCAACAAGCTAAAGTCTAAGTTACAGGCTGATTTCAGGTCTGGTTTAGATCATTGTTACTTATAAATTAWATATTTTTCTGGTATAAATCTGCTGTTTTACGTTTGTTGAATGAAATTAACATAGTTATTAATTTATTGTAAAAACATGACCGATAATCTGTGAAACAGATCCAGTTCAGCTTGCTGTTTATCTATTAGTTTCTATGGAGGCTGTGAGCTGTTGCCCTTTTAGGACGCCATTTTTGCTCCTCCATGCTGTCACAGATGCTACCAGTGTACGGTATGGGCGGGACTCAGTCTAGTGATATTTAAGTCTATGTTTGAGGGTAAAAACGTTTTTGTGGATTTTTTTTTCGAATGTTGTGTCTATCAACCTTTTCTAATGTGATGCATCAAAATGTGCAAAAAAGTTGATGGAAACGGCTTGTATGTACTTCATGTGATACAATGTGGAAAATGTTACAATATGTTAGGTATATTCAACAGAATTCTCTAACTAGAAGCATCTTCTTGCTCCCAATCTTGGTAATGTTTTTTTGGGGAAAAATAATGTAGCACCTTCTGGCCCTTTAAATCTATAAACTCTTTCTTTAGTAAGAAGCTACTTGAGTTTGAGAAGAAACATACAATACAACACAATAAATACTAAATGATTTTAGCTTTTTTATTTTATGACAGAAATTTCCAATGTCATATCTGCAAATAAAAGTAAAACTTAGCTTTAACACCTACTAAAACCTCTGAGAACCTTCTTTTTAACACACAGTTAACACTCTGAGGCCTTTTTTGCGCTGCTAAACAGGAACATTGCCAGCAATGGCTTGGTACAACAAGCTCCAGCTTCAAACATTCCTAATGTTACTGGCACAGATGGCACAATCATCCATCTTTACTACCATTAAGCTGGCAGACATTACAYACCACACAAACATACTGTACATATTCATAAGAATTATTAGCTCCTAAAAGCCTGTGTGCACACACAGAAACACAAATCCACATGCTACAGGCCACAACGTTTACTGCCTCTGAGCTCATTATTTTTTTATGATACCTGTACAAACAGGCAGCTTTGAATTATTCAACAAACATCATTGGGGTGCCATTATTCTAATGCAGGGCAGTCATGAAAATATCTTAATGAAGCTCTCCATTGTCAGAGTTAAAATGGTTCAAAAAGGAAACGASTGAACCAAAAGGACACAAATACCATCCTCAAATGTATGACTTTTTGCAAACTAAGGAATTAAATTGTGAAATGCACTTTTAATAATTTAATACATAAAACACAATATCCAATAGATAAGTGAGGTAAATCTGTAGCTCTCTAAAACCCTAAGGCATTCTTTCAAGAATTCAGACTGATCAATATAAAAGAAGACAAAATCAAAATCAAATCAACTTTAGTCTTAAAGCATATTTAAAACAACAAAGTGCTGTACAAATAATGCCAAATAATATATACTGTATTGCTGGAAAAACTGCAAGTGTACCTTGGTGCTGTGTTCAGCCATGGTGTGATAGTTGAGTCCAGCCTTAGACCTGAACTGTTTCTGACACTGCTGGCACTTCAGGGCATCCTGGAGCTGCAGAGGTGAAAGGTCACAAGGAGGATCAAACTAACTTCTCTAAGTCAAAAATTAAAAACTTTTGTTTGTTCTAAATCAGATTCATCATTTGTGTGTGTGTGTGTCTGTGTGTGTGCGGG